TAAAAAATAAAATATTATTGTTATGTTGTTGAATATCACCTTTAAGTACTGTTTAAATTGCTAAAGAAAGTACCTACCTTTCTTTTCTATATATTGCTACTATATTGACGTTACTTCAAGAAAATAATTAGAGTAAACACTTCTGTTACTATAACCCCGATTAAAAGTAACATCAGTGACGTCATTGAATTGAACTGATGTTACTTTAAAAAAATAATTATAGTAACACCTCTGTTACTTTAGCCAGGGCCTTTTAGAATTCGTGCAGTTAGTAAATATTTAAATAATAAAGAAAGGCCGTGGCTAAAGTAACAGAGGTGTTACTATAATTATTTTTTTAAAGTAACATCAGTTCAATGACGTCACTGATGTTACTTTTAATAGGGGTTATAGTAACAGAAGTGTTTACTCTAATTATTTTCTTGAAGTAACGTCAATATAGTAGCAATATATAGAAAAGAAAGGTAGGTACTTTCTTTAGCAATTTAAACTAAGTAAAGGTGATATTCAACAACATAACAATAATATTTTATTTTTTATTAACCAAAAATTTGAATCAACATATTGATAATACAAATCTTTTGTGAGAAAAACGGCGTCTCCATATTCCTATTCCTCACATGCCCTTACAAAGGAACGGGAGTGTAGGTATAGTTCTCTCCTGCAGGTGAAATTCGATTGTTTACCTTTTTATGAGTGTGCAATGTGAAAATTCAGTTTTCCATTTTTAATCATTAGCGGTATAAAATAATGGCCATCAACTTCAAGCATTTTTTTTCAGCAAATGAAGATGGGTAATTTCATAATTTGGAGCTAAAACTATGATAATCTACAGCGAAAAAACTTCTGCCTAGGAAGGAAAATAATTTACTTTCCTCCATAGGGAGGCGAAATTACTATTTTCCTACCTGAAAAAAAGGTAACCAATTGTCACTTTCTGACAGTCATAAGAAAATGTGTCTTTCCTGCCTTGCCTATAATTGTGCCTGTTTTATAAGTATTCTATTCTATTCTTCAAAGTCAAGTCAGGTTATTTTTTATTTATTTCCATTTTTACTCTAAAACAAATGCCAAGAACCAAGAATATCACCTTTACTTTAAATTGCTAAAGAAAGTAATTACCTATCTACATATTGCTATATTGACGTTACTTCAAGAAAATAATTAGAGTAACACCTCCGTTACTATTAACCCCTATTAAAAGTAACGTCTTCATCAGTGACAACATTGAATTGATGTTACTTTAAAAAAATAATTATAGTAACACCTCTGTTACTTTAGCCACGGCCATAAAGAAAATACAACAACAATTTAGTTTTAAATTTTTTCAAATTTTAAATAGAAAAAAAAACTTACTTTGGGTGGGTCTAATGTTTATTGTTTAAGTCGACTGAGTCCCAAATTTAGACACGTTTGAACAACAAATCAATTCTCCTATCCTTCTGATGAGCAAAGTGGTCAATGACTAGTTCATTGAAGTTCCCAATACTTTTGATAAATGCCTTCTCAATACTGAGCATTATGCACTCAACCTAGACTGCTCTTTCGTGGTTTGGCATAAATCGAGCTTTGCTTTTGGACGACCACTTTTCTTAAATTCCAAAAGTCAATCCTCCACTGGAATTTCAAGATATTATTTCCTGAACAAGGGAACCCATTTTTGTGAAGCGATTAAAGAAAGATTCAGGACAGATTACTCAAAAAATTAAATCAAAACAAAAACAATGTGCAGAATGACAATTCAGTAATTGTTTTAAGAAAAATAACTCTGGACACCCCAACACTCTAGGACTTTTGTTTTCTATCTTTCTTCAATAAACGCGATTGAAAAACGACAATAAAATCGTCGAATTCTGAGCGCTCTTGTTCCATTCCGATAAATACCCATATCGATCGATCGAGGATCTGGCGCCATTGTCGGCCGTCGACGTGATGGAACATATGGAAGCAAATGTGCCTCTTTATCTTACTCATTTACGCCCGTTATGTCTCTCTCTCTCTCTGATTCCTATTGCATTCGCCTATGATCATTTCAAAGCTATAAGCCCAATTTTGAATACGGCCGAGCGCAGCTAGGCCTGTATTTGTAATTTTAAAAGGTGGATACCCAATATGCGCAAAATAATTCGATTTCTGTATTCTGTTGAGCGTGATGTTGGTTAATTTAAAACGTAATATTCAAGATGTTTAATTAAAAATTTATTGTTTGATTTTTTGGTGGGTCATTGACCGAATGACCTTACAGAGGAGCCGCGCCTGTTAGCTAATGATATTAGAAAGTTCTTGTGCCTCTGACGCTACGCTAATACGGTACCGCTAACAATACGGTATTTTAAATGTTTTTTTTTAGTTCTCGGACACAAAGACACAAAAATTTTCTAATCCTAAATTCTGTTTACATTTTGACAGCTGAATTGAGTGATCTAATTCAACTTTTTTTGCTTGTTTACTAAGTTTCATTTATCCTGAAGATTCCTTAACTTAGTTTCAATAATTTTTCCTTGGTGTTTTTTATTTTTATGGAGGAATTATTGAAAGTAGCTGTTTTTCCAAACGTAAATGAAGTGTAAACAAATTTTGACATAGCATAGCGTTACAGTGAGGCATCCGTTTGTCCGGTTAGGTAGCGGGCTCCGCTAACGCTCATACCGTAAGAATTGTCATACTTCTCAAATAACGTTATGGTATTTCAAATTTGGACAGCACGAGAATTCTCTAATTACTAGCAAATTGACAGCTTAACTAAATAACCGTCCACGAAAAACCGGTCCCTAAGGCAGGGCGCCCACCGAAATAGCGTGGCTTATGATGTGGCGTGTGATCTCTCAAGTAGCATGCTACATCAAATCAAGCGAACATGAACAGTCTACAGACGCCTAAATCTTATTCTTATGCTTTTAGATGGTCCTTCCATGAAGAGTTTGGACTGCACTGCCTGAGTCAGTAAGTTCCATCCAGTGTTTTTTGTGTTACCCCTATGAAAGAATATCAAAAAAAAATTGGGACCAGTAGGTTTTTAAGCTGCGTGACCTTGAACTTAAAAAAAATGGCTGCGACGCGATTGATTCACAACAGCCCCCAAAATAAAATACTGATCTGGCAGGCCGGGCCGGTGCGAATGGTTTCCCAGGCCGGTTTTATGCTCCCCATCCACCCCTGCCTTTACCTTCAATAGTTTTGGAGAAAAAAAATAAATTCCGTTTTTTCCATAAGAAACAATGAGTTAGAAAGAGATAGTTGAACTATGAATCGACTAAAAATTTCTTAATAGACCAGTCTCTTATTACCTGGACTGCGCGCGCAATTCGTAGGTTGCAGCTGAGCGTCCAATGAGAAGCGAGTTTGTTACAGGCTTGCGTCATATTCTTATTCAGGGGCCAGTTCAGAATTAATCGTTCCTTTTTTCTTTGTAACGGGTAATTGGACAAAGAGCGAACTAATAATTTACGTATTACTTCAACTAAACGCAGTGTCGTTTGAGGTTGTTAGATTATACTTGACATTGCAATCCTTTGCAATTTCATTGTGCGATGTTGCCGGATGAAACATTTATCAAAATAAAAGTGCAAACGATGTTAACATACACTTTAAAGCTCTTCTTTTGTCTGATTGAAGGCGTTGTAAAACACTTGACAATATATCACTTGTACTTGACAATATATCACTTCTTTAATGTTCTAATGTTCGATTCGTAGTGTCTACATTTGTTCTGCAACAATATAATCTGGCTACACGGCAGCTACGAGTTGCGCGCACATGTCATCTTTTATCACTTTCTAACTTGTATTTATTACAATTAAGCTCTCTTTTTCTATTTATGCGAGATACGTCTATTCTTAATTTAATTTTTCAGTTCAGTTTTTTTTTTTTAAATTTGAATCAGGGGTGATAAATAGGCAACAAATAATTTATTTAATGACTTATTTCTCTCTAGCTCATTGTTTCTTATGGAAAAACGGAACTAATTTTTTTTCTCCCAAACTATAGAAGGTAAAGGTATAAAACCTTAAATCATTGAAATCAGCTCACAAAGAGCTATTCAATAAAAAAATAATATACGGGGTGTCCCATTTAAAAAAAAAAAACAACTTTGGTCGTTATTCCAATATCGGAGGCATCTGGAGAAAAATTGGTCATGTCACTGGATTCTCCTTGAAAAACTGCATCTAGAAAGTATTTTTCGTTTTTGGATATCTTGATCTTATCTTGATTAATAAAGAAATTAGAAGGACTTCTAAAATTGTGCAAAATTTGAAAAGTGCCCTGTATTTCCCAAACGCATCAAGTTAGCCGTGATTTGTCTTCCCAGTTGTTATTTTCTCAAAATAAGAGCTCGAGAATGTGCTCCTCGATTTTTGATATCTCTGCTGGTTTTCGATATAGCCTATTAAAACATCGAAAATGGGCCACCCTATCTATACATACAATATGTAGAAACAAGAAAAAAGTGCTACTTCAAATCAGAGTTAGAAATTATACTCTATGATTAGGGTTTATATTGTACGCCGTATTATGCTGATGTATTTTACAAAAAAAAATTAGAAATAGAAAGAAAAACCCTGCCTCAGAACTTGCGTTTGTAGATAAAATGTAATACGTGTGATAGTGATACATGCACTTCAATGCATATAAAACTCTTGAGTATTGTAAATGACCTTATCACTTGTATAAAATACAAAATAGTTTCTACAACCAATGGGCTCTTTCACTAATTTTTGGAATTGACATAATTGGATAAAGCAACTGAACATAAAATTTTCTGCACCCTTAATTTTGAAAAACTTTGAGTCCTTCTTAATAGAATTAATAAAAAAGAAAACTCTCTAAATAAAAACACAGTCTTTACAACATCATAACTTGCATTTTGAGAGTGTGGCCACTAATTGTCAGCAGTGAAAATTTGTAATAGAGTTAATTCTAAAATGTAAGCAAAACACCAAGAAATTGGGTTATTGTTGTTATAAAAAAAAGCATAACTAAATATTTAAAATATAACTTACTCTGGCTGATCAAACGTGTCTGTCTTTGGAATTTTGCAATGTTCCATTTCTCTCATATGCCCCCATAAACTATCTTTATTTTCCAAACATTCTTCACAATAGGGGCATTTATTATTATGCATCATTTTTCTAAGGTAATTAACTAATTTTATTTTTTGATAATAATCCAAAGTTTCGGTGGATTTGACGAAATCAAAACCATGTTCGCCATCCATATGCAAACATAACAAATTTATATCGGTTTCAGTTTGAGAACAAAATAAACAGTTAATTTTGTCATCTTTTTCATTCCAGTCTGAGTATTCTTGATCACAATTTTCTTCGGCTCCTCTAGGAAGTGCATACCTGTCATCTTCTTTTTCAATGGCTTGCCAACCCTTTCCCACTTCTAAATAATTCACGATATAAAATCTATCATATGCAGAATCGGCAGGATTTATTCTTTTGTGTATTTTTTTTCTCATGTGCTCCTTGAGCACAGTTCTCTCTGGGAAAATACCTTTGCAAAAAATACACGTTAAGTTTTGTATTTCTTCATCAACCTGATTGATCAGTTCTTCAATGAAAACCAAGTTTTGTGGATTTCCTAATTGAAGATTATGTTGTTCAGCTAAGTGTTCTAAATAACCTTGCCTGGAACCTGAAACAGAATTAATTTTTTTGATGTCTTTCCTAATGAGATTGTTTTAAATCTGAGTAGGTATGTTGATGTATACCTTTGTTGCTGTTATTTTATTGATTATGATTTTTTAGTTGCATGATTTTTATGCAATACCTGAAAAACTGTCCAACTGCAACTGTTCAATTATTCTTACCTTCGTATTGTAATTTACAAAACAAACATTGCCGAATAAAACTGCTATCCGTTCGTTCAAATTCGTGGACTTTCATTACATAATCCAAGTTTAGCTTGTGTCGAAGGTTCTGGTCTTCTTTCAACAAGGAACTAAAGAGGAAATATTGTTCCCCTGTTACTTCAACTTTTACAGACGGTATTATCTGTTCTACAGGATCTTTTTTTAAGCGTTCCCTCCAGTAGAGAATATATCTGGAAGTTAAATATGTATTATAAATTAGGCTGCATATTGCCTTTGAAATATGAAATTTCAACTAAAACTTTTGAACAATAAGGTAGGTAAATATTACGCTTGATGAAAAAACAACTTATCAACATGTCAACAATTGACATCAAACTATGTATTGCTTTTGTGGAAATTACAACTCTAAGACTTACTCAGGTAAATTTTTAATATTCTGAGCGTCTTCAATGACACACTGATGCACATCAAAAATATGGCTCAGAAATATATCCAGGCGAAGTCTTATGTTGAAACTATCTTCGCACAGAAGGCATTTTGTTTCACTATCCAGGAATTGAATATCGTATTTTAAGTCCTCAAATGTCAAGGGGCCAAACATTTTATCTTCTGAGAATCCTGCAATAAAACTTTGTCATTTTGTTTTTTCTTGTTTTTGGAAGAATGCGAAATTAGAAGGTAAAAAGGGAAGGGTTGGGAAAATTTGGCATAACTTTATTATACCAAAGGTATAATGAGTAAAATATACAGGGTGTCCCACGGTGGATGGCGTATTAGACGTTTATGCAAAACTAAAAAGCGGATCATTCTGAAAATTTGCCAACCCGGATAAACGACCATGATCTACACTTTAAAAATATTTTTGTTTATGCGGTGTTGCCGCTTCTATTCTAAACCAGTGGCAACATCGCTATTTTAAATGGAACACCCTGTATGTGATTGCATATTTGGATTTGACGTAAAATTCTGAATTGATTTCATGTGATATACCCTATACCTAAGTTCCACTGTTTTGGAAATATTGACGGTTGAAAATTGACTTTTTGCAACTTTGACAGGCTGTAAAACCTGAACTGTTAATTTTAGAGGAAAACGGATTTCACATTCCTATCTTAGATTTTTATAAGCTATCATTTGACACCAACTTTAAATTTAATCCTTGATTAAAAATTCTAATTAAATTTAATCTCCAGTTAAATTCAAAGTTAGTGTCAAATGATAGCTTATGAAAATCTAAGACAGGAATGTAAAATCAGCTTTCCTCTAAAATTAACCGTTTAGGTATTATAGCCTGTCAAAGTTGTAAAAAGTCAATTTTCAACTGCCAATATTTCCAAAACAGTTGAACTTAGGTATAGGGTATATCACATGAAATCTATTCAGAATTTTACGTAGAATCCAAATGTGCAATCACATACAGGGTGTGCCATTGAAAATAGCGATGTTGCCACTGGTTTAGAGTAGAAGCGACAACACCGTATAAACAAAAATATTTTTAAAGTGTAGATTATGGCCGTTTATCCCGGTTGCCAAATTTTCAAAATGATCCGCTTTTTAGTTTTCATGAACGTCTAATAAGCCATCCACTGTGGGACACCCTGTATGTTTCTAATTTTGATAATAATTAACGGTAATATACCAATAATTTGGAATTTAATTAAAATAAGAAACTCAAAAACAAAGGTACAGGGTGCTGCAATTTGGAGTGTTTTAACAGGAAAAACATACTTCCAGAAAAATTAGAGTAAAATTTTCTTAGATGTCATGGGATTGAAACGTCGATTGTCAAAAACCGTATCACGATATCTTCAATAGTGCCATCAGAGCAGTCAAAGATACTTTTGAAAAGTATCTAGTTACAAGATAAGTTACTTTTGGAAAAAGAATCTGAAGTTACTTCGGGTATTTAGTTAGTCATTGAAAAAAGGATCTTAAATACGTATCTAAGTTACTTTTTAAGATACTTAATAAGATACTTATTAAGATACTTTTTTATCATTTCCAAATAGCAGGCGGAAAAATCGATTAAGCTATGGCTGTTTATTTGTTCCACAGGTTTCGGGTTTAATTTGAAAGTTTTAAAACAAAAATTGTTATAGTTCAAAAATCCCAAATTCGAGAAGGGTCAAAATCACAAGACACTAGAAAGCTATCACAGTTACAATCACAAAGCATAGTTAAATTTTTATAGAATAGGTATGATGGATAAATCGCGACGTGAGCTTTTGCAGTTAACAGCTGTCATTCAACCCTTGTTTTAAATGAGTTTATACTAACTGCACTTATTTAAAAAAAAAGTATAATCTGTATTTAAACTCTTACCAATGTCTACAGTCTGCAAATAAATCAATAATTGTATTTTCTAAAAAAACTAATTTTCCAAAAACCAAAAAAATTTATTTGAAAATCAGGGTCACAGCTTTACAACTAACGTAACACGAAATTATTAAATAAATGGTATCAATCAAGACAACACCAGCAAAAATAAAATGCATACTTAATTGCATAAATAAAGAAAACCAAATACCTACACTGTGGGCCAAATTTATTTGGAACCCAATTTGGATCTGAATAACTTTTTTTCAACTTGGCGGATTTTTGTGAAATTTTCTGTGGATATTAGGAGGGCTTTTCCTTAATTGTAGAAAAAATATCTGATCAAAATGTACAGGGGGAGCCAAGTAAGAAGGAGTATTTTTAATAATTGCCTTTGGGGCTGTTGCAAAATTAAATTTTTCACTCTAAAACTGCATAAATTATTTGAAAATATTAGGAAATTATCTGAAAAGAGGCTATGTAAAAATGTTTCGAAAGATTAGGGAGCAATACATCCGTAATGTTGATGACGTCACTTCCGTCCGCATTTTCGTTTCGATTTTTCATTTCACTACCACCGTTAAAAAAGTATGACTTCGAAAAAAAAAAAACTGTTGTATCCCTTGACAACAGTACCTATGTAAATATCAGTAACCTGTCAATGTATAAATTTACTTCAAAATGGTATACCCGTATATATCATTGGAAGATAAAATTTTGATTAAATCTCTAACGCCCGTATTCACCAAAATCAACTTAGCTATCTGATAGCTGTCAGTCTGTTAACATTTATCAGTCGGATAACAGCAAGTGCTATTCACCAATAAAAATGGTCCTTCTGACAACAAACAGACTGATAAAAATAAAAATCCATATATTCAATTGTTTGCCCAGCGGATCTGAGTCTACGGCAGGAATTCGGATGTAAATGCTCTATATTGCCACGTTTATTTATAAAAAAGCGAAAATACTAGACATGAAGTACCTATAGTTCATTTGAAAATCCATTTTTCAATAACAAAATATTGATAACAATAATAAAACGCTAAACATTTTAACGTTGTTGTTAGATCTATTCTTATTTCTCCTGATTTCTTCAATTTGATCTATTGTAAAAAATAAACATTTTCTATATATACCATCCGCTTTTGACAATTTGGCAAGCATCCGGCCTGGATGAACCTGATTGGTGGAGTTTTTGGCAGGATCGCCGTTGCCATGGGACCCATACGGTTGTTAATGAGCCAACGTCACCTTATGTCTCGCTATTGGCCAGGCCTGACGTCATTTTATCCTCCCATCTTGGAATATCAATTTATATTGAAATATCCAGTGGCGGAGGTTTGGTCATTGTCAATTTTCGTGTACAAGTTGCAATACGATAACACTTCCAAAAAGTTCCGCACGCAGCTGGGTATTTTGGCCGAGTTCGTTTTTGTCATCTTTTCCGTCGATTTGCTCCGAAATTTTGACAGGCACGTGACTGGATAAGACAGTTTCAAGTTACAAATCACGTGCCTGTCAAAATTTCGGAGGAAATCGACGAAAAATATGACAAAAACGAACTCGGCCTTTATGAATGAAATCAGCCATTTTTTTTTACACCTGCATTCCCCTCACCGTTGCCCCGTAGACACAGATTCGCTGGGCAGACATTAGAGAGATATCGGTAAAACAGATAGCGCGTATGGACGGTAATAACGTCAAGAGTTATTTTTTTAAAGTAAAGCGGTATCATACTTTCAAATTAGAGTTATCGGAAAACAGTTTAACGTAAAATTTGCCTGTTCGCATCCGTTATTTTATAAACGTAGCCTAACTTGTACCTTGTTGTGATTTGATTTGTGTTGTCTGTTGTTCATGGTCAGGGACAGAGGATTTGCTTTTTTTACTATTTATTGAACACTCCATATTCACTTGAACACAACAAAAATAATAAAATAAACAATAAACATAACATAACCTATTATTCCACGGCGTTATTTTTAGACGTTATTCGAAATAGCGCTTAACGTAAATGCTGGGTAAATTACGTTATGCGGTAACATTATTTTAGTACGTAGTGTTAAAAACGAATCGCGCATAGGTTTAATGTCAAAATAACGTAAGCGCTAATACTGCATGACACTTTTTGGGTTACCGATATCTCTCTATTATGAACAGTTTTTCTCTTCCTTTCATTTAACAACCTCAAATTTTGTATTATATTTATTTATTAATAATAACTTTTCTTGGACTGTGAAACAAGTAAACAACTTCCTAATCCTAATAATTTGTCTAATAATAATTAATTATCGTATACGAATACCAAATGGAAAATGAAACGGATGAGCAGCTTTCTGGTCGCGAAAAGGAAATTCTAATTTCTTCGGATGAGAAATATTTAATCGGGAATAAGAAAACCATAACCAATACAGTACAGTTGGCTGTGATTGTTGTGAAATGGTCACCGCAATACAAAGTTGAAAAGACCCGGTTGCAATTAAAATCTGATTTTTTTAGCTCCAGGACTAGGTTCAGTGTTCAGAGGTTTATTTTCAGCCTTTGAAAGCTATTTTTGTTTATTTTGAATCTTTTATGAAACTCCAAATCATCCAATTCAGTGAATAAATCATTCTTGCCCTCACATTTCTGGGCCTAGGAAGATCTTCATTTGATATATGGATCATCCAATGAACCTCCAAAAAAATTGAGGTCAATTTCATCCATTCTGTTCATTTTGCCAAAAAATAAAACTTATAAAGTACCTACCACAAATTAAAATTTAACGAACCATCCATTCTTTCCAATTTATGGATACATTTGATTTTTTTTGAAATAAAAACAATAACAATAACACTTATCAGACAGATAACTTCCTTAACAGCCCAAATTTCGCCTGACAACTTTATCAGACTTATATCTAATACTCAAGGTTGGTGAATACCGAATTTTACGTTAACAGTCGGACAAGCAGTTTATCAGACTGATAAGCAGTTAGCGGTCGTTGGTGAATACGGCCGTAAGAGTCACAGGGTTAAGGCGCAAAAAAGATTATTAAAAGTTACCCAGAGCGTAATTGGAAGTCAAGTACCGTTAGTTATTTTCTAAGACATTTACTTGAGACTAATGGTTCATTACCGATGAAGCCTGTAAGAGGAAGAAAACTGGTAGAAGTATTGAAAACATTGAAAGAGTAAGGACAATTCTTGATGGTGTCGAACCCGGTAATACAGTACGTTCAAGGAAAATAGCAAAAACTACTACTATTAAAAGATCATCGGTAAGAAGAATTATTAAAATTGATTTGAAGTATCGACCGT